GGCATCTAGCTGATGGATGGTTTCATAAAAGTGGGTACCCTGAGTGGTGAGGAGATTGACCAAAGGCAAGTCAGTCTTCTGGTCATGGACATGGCGTTGGAACAACACATGTTAGAAATGATGCACGAAGAGAAAATGCAGTGCATACCTCTGTTCCAGCAGGAGCGATGCAGTTGCCAAATGCGATAACAGCTCAAGACCGTGTGGGCTTGACTGGTTTGAGTGATGATCAGTGGCATACTGACTAAACAGGCCAAGAGAGAGAAGCTACGGTCGGTATCGGATTCCTCTTGAGTAAAGTCGATTCTAACTCGGCCATCATTCTTAGCTTGGCAAGTTGGATGTGAAAGAACTCCTTCAGTACAGGCAGTTTGGTCGTTGAGACGTGGTTTGTGCCTTAGCTCCATTCCGGACGTATGCGGTTTCATGCGGTACACGGCACAGTCAGTCTGATCGGTACGGTTGGATGGGTGAACCTTGGTTGGACTTTTTTGAACGTCTGATCTCCACTCTGGTTCAGTTCCATGTACTGATCCGTGTACTGGGACGCATCACATACATTGGTGACTTTGTGGAATGAGAAGAAGCAACATCCAACTTCAACATCTCCGACTGCTATGGATTTCTTAAACTCTTTGATAGTTGATTCGGGTGCAACAAATCATATGACTAGTGATCTTAGTTTTTTGTCTGATGTGAGAGACATAGTACCGCTTCCAATTAAACTGCCTGATGGCAGGTTTAGTTGTGCTTTCAAACAAGGGACAGTGATCTTAACTTCACGCTTTTTCTACAGAATGCACTTCTAATAGATGGACTGCAAAGTCATTTGATTTATGTATCTCAGCTAAACCGGAAAAGTCAAAGTGTTTTCCAGATAACTGATAAGCGTTTCTTGATCCAGAAAAACCGCATTACCAGGACACTAAGTGGCTGAGATGACCAATGGACTGTACTTTCTGAGGGGGATGGAATTTTCTGGAGTTGTGCAGCGAGCTTAACCAGTATCTAGAGATGTTTGGCACCATCGTCTAGGACATCCTTCATCAAAGATTTTGGATTTGTGGTATATTTCTGATTTTTCTAGCAATAAGGAGTTTCAAAATAAAGTATGTGAGATTTTTGTACGCGCTAAGCAAACTCGTACTATTTCTCTTACAAGTTCTGATAAAACTTCAGTTTCATTTGATTTTATTCACTGCGATTTATGATATCGAGGTCAGTCTCACTATGGTGCAAGATATTCTCTCACTTTAGTTGACGATTACATTAGAAGTGTTTGGCTGTTTCTCTTGTCAACAAAGGCTAAAGTAACACGCACAATTAAATAATTCATTACTATGGTTGAACAACAATTTGCAGCAAAGCTTAAGACTGTAAGAAGTGACAATGGCACTGAATTTGTTTGTATGGAAAGTTACTTTTGAGAAAGAGGAATAAAACATGAAATTTCATGTGTAGGAACACCACAACAAAATGGACGAACTGAAAGGAAACATAGACACATCTTGAACGTTACTAGAGCATTGCAGCATCACTGCCTATAGAGTTTTGGGGAGAGTGCATCCTAACCGCAGCTTGTGTGATTAACCGAACACCTACACCATTGCTAGAAGGTAAAACTTCTGTTGAGAAACTATACGATCGGCCTCCACCTCTGCATCATCTAAGGGTTTTTGGATGTTTGTGCTATGCCCATAATCAAAATCATAGAGGAGATAGAAGCATCAAGTGTTTGTCCCTAGGTTATCTGAATGGGAAGAAGGGCTGGAGAATTTACAATCTTGAAACTAAAAAGATATTCTTCTCCAGAGATGTGATCTTCTTTGAGATAGAATTTCCCTTTGAAAAATTTGTAATTCAGCCATCTAGAGATGCAGTGTTGGAAAATTATCATAAAAGTATGCCAATTGTAATCGAGGATCCACTTGAACAAGACGTCTCACTACCAACAATAGAGCAACCAGCGAATCTTGAAACAGAGGAAGTCATATTTTATGATTCGGAACAAAATGGCTTCTCATAAACAATGTCAAGAAACAAGTTCCATGAGGAAGACACTTTTCACACGACTCCTGTCTCTGGAACCAAAGCTAGTGGAAATGATTTCTCCACACAAACTGAGATTGTGGCAATACCTCAACAAATCTCATTACCTAAAAAGATCTGCTTCTTTCTCTGTTGATTTAAACATCTCAAATGAGAAAGAAGTCTCACATGAATCCAACTCTCAGATGCCTGAAAACATTGTGACAAGTTTAGAGATACAACTAGGCCGTGGTCACAAACAAAAAGCTTTACCGGCAAAACTATAGGACTATGTTTTAAACATTGTTTGTGCAGAAATAAGTGCACCATCTCCAGCGTAGTGTCCTTTTTCTACTTATGTAGACTGCTTAGTATTTTCAGATAAACATTGTTAGTTTCTAGCGGTCATTACACTATCATATGAGCTAAAAGTTTTAAGGAATCGATGGAAGATGAGAATTAGAGACTAGGATCATGTTAGGAGATCGATTCACTAGAAACTAGTGATGCATGGGATGTAGTAACTTTGCCAAAAGGGAAACATGCACTAGCTTGCAAATGGGTGTTCAGACTGAAATTTACGGCTGGCGACACTTTAGAACGTTACAAAGCTAGACCTGTGGTCTGCAGAAATAAACTGATTACAAGAGATGATTACAATGAGACGTTCACACCGGTTGCAAAGATGACCACCGTACGGAGCTTTCTGCAACAAACCGGCTTCTCTTGATTGGGAAGTTCACCAGATGGATGTGCATAATGTATTTCTCCATGGTTACCTCAAATAAGAAGTATACATGAGACTAACACCTGGATATAGTGGAAATGACAAGAATCATGTTTGCCGTCTGAAAAAGTCTTTATATGGATTTAAACAAGCTCCTCGATGTTGGTTTGAGAAGCTTACCTCGGCATTGTTGGAATATGGATTCACTCAGTGTCTATCGGACTACTCGTTATTTACGCTCGAATGAGGTAACGACAAATTACATGTTCTTATTTATGTTGGCGATTTGATAATTATAGGAAGAACTCTTGCGTTGATCACAACATTCAAGGTTTACCTAAGTTAGTGCTTCCACATGAAATATTTTGGGATTTCTATATACTTCTCGGGTATTGAAGTGGCTCGCAGTCCATCAGGCATATATTTGTAACAACAGAAGTATGTCTTGGATATCCTTAAAGAAACTGGGCTTTTAGGCGCCAAACCAGCTGCCTTTTCGATTGATCAGAATCACCAGCTAGCTCTCGATCAGATCGAGCTTCTCATTGATGTATCTGCGTATAGAAGGCGGTAAGCGTATTTATCTGAGTAACACGTGTCCCAACCTATCGTATGCAATTCATATTCTCTCGCAGTTCATGTACAAACCGCGGAAAGGCCATTGCATGAGGGTTAAGGTTCCAAATGTGACTGTGATCGGTGCAAGGGGGAATCTAATTGCTTGGAAGATGAGAAGATATCATGGAAGAGATGGATGATGAAGATATGAGGATTCAGAGGGTGGGAATGAGGAAGAAGAAGAAGTAGAAGAATAAGAAGCTTGTGGGAATTATGAATCTAGTTTCCTACACACATACTTCTTTGCTCCTGACAAAGACTCATGATGCTTCTGCATCCTCGACGTATCTTGAATGTAATGTTTGTAGAAGTTTGAAGATGACCAAGTTGGCGTAAATTCTTAAGGCTAGAGGAAATTGAAATAAAAATATTCTTCTTCTTATTTTTTACCTTTTTAGTTGAAAATATTGTGCATATGTATTTATGGCTTTGGTGCTTATCTAGTAAACTCTACAACTCTTGTTATCTAAGTGCCTGAACAATAGCTTCCTTATGTTGCAAACTACGAAACATTGCAGATTTTCTTCATGTTTCTTTTGTTCTGTTTTTGTTCTTGTTCAAAGAAAAGAAAAAAAATGTTTTTGGACTTTAGAAAGCTTAGAGTGAAGTGAATTGAGAGACTGATTTTCACATGCATTACACAACTTCGTTTACTACATCTTTATAGAGAAAACAAAACATTCTCTGATCTTCTCTATGCTCTAACCTTATTTTCTTGACTTAGGAGTACTAATATCCATATATATATAGCCCATTCTTTTTGACTTATACTTAAGTTACTACAACAAGTAAGCTTAAAAAATTTTACATAACAAAACAACGGACAACTTCCGACTTGTTGCTCTTCTTTTCCCAACTTTCTTTTTTTTGTTTTGTGGTTTGAGAACAAATAGGCATCATTTAACATCTTGATAAACATCACAGTTCCATCTTCTTTCATGTTCAGTTGTCATTTATTTGCTTTGAGTTTTGAAAATGTAAAGTTAAAAATTCAACTGTTCTTTCTGATAGATCTCAATTATTTCCACAGCATTCTCAATGTTGGAATTAAAACTATCGATTTTATTGATTTTTTGCCGGTTTTATTAATATTTTCAAATCTAGGTTTTAAACTAAATTAGATTTGACTTCTTTATGACTCAGGCTCGTCTTAGATGAATTATGGATCCTGACTCAGATGATTTTTCCCCCAAAATTATAGCTCTATATTTTTAATAAATTTATACCATAATTTCTTAAAGAATATTTTTCGAAAAAAAAAGACCATGTGCCTGTACACCTTGGATACACCCCAAGAGCCGGCACTGGTTAGACTTGTTCGATTTCAGAATACGGTTAACAACATATTAACTAATCCATTACGGTTTTCAAAACCATGTCTAAAACCCTTTAATAGAACACTTGAGCAATGGTTTTTCTTTCGGGTTGGTAAAATTCCAACAAGTGTTGAAATCGATTGAATTTTCTAATATTGTCGATCGAACCGTAAGTAAACAATCTGAAATGAACCGAGAATCACAGTTCGGTTGAAAATCTCGAAAATTTAATCGTGTGTTGAGGGTAATTTAGACTTTCCGCACTAATGAATTTCCTTCAAAGTAGCTAGGGTTTTGTATTCTCGGAGATCAGATATAAACAGTCTTCTTTTAAAGCTCCGACGCCACCTTTAGACGCGAATCTAGCTCCCTCTCCTAATTTTCACGGTGAGCTCATATATAGATCCTCTCTCTCCTCATCGCCCGCTTTTAGTTTTTATTTTTGAGTTTCAAGCATTAAGGTTATGATTTGATAGATTTATTCGGCGTGGTAACATTTGCATCGATCTGTTCATGTCTGTTCTATTGATTTAGTATTCATTTATGTTTTGATCGGTTTGGTGTTTGTTAGGTAGGTTTGGTAATGGCGACAGTACCAGGACAATTAATCTGGGAGATTGTTAAGACCAACAACTGTTTCTTGGTCAAACAGTTCGGAAGAGGCAACGCCAAGGTTCAGTTCAGCAAGGAGACCAACAATCTCTGCAACCTTAACTCCTACAAGCACTCTGGTAATTTTATTACAGTGATCTTTGCTACCGAACTTAATGATTTGTCTTTCTCTTGATATCGTTAGTGAACTGATAAGTATGATAGCTTCTGACGAGGATTCATGTCATGGCTTTCAGGTCTTGCAAACAAGAAGACAGTGACCATCCAGCCTGCTGACAAAGAACAAGGTGTTGTCCTCGCCACCACCAAGACCAAGAAGCAGAACAAGCCTAAGGTTTCTGTCAACAAGTCCATCCTGAAGAAGGAATTCCCCAGGATGTCCAAGGCTGTTGCTAACCAGGTTTGTGTATCTCTGCAACTTAAGATGTTTGTTTCTATGTCTATGATGTGCTAAATAGGTTTCTGTTTCTAGTTATTGGAGTTATTGTCATATTCTGATCTAAAATTGATCTTTTCATGTTTATATCTGATTGTTACATGGCATGATAATAGATCTTTGTTTATTTTCTTCTGTGCAAACATTTAAAGCTACATCATGTAAGGCTACGTTGTGGAAAACTTTAGATGAATTGACACGCTTGGATTTAGGCATTGATCTGTATTAAGATCTGTTTATGATCAACTCTTGTGTCTTACGTCGTATAGATATTTAATAATACCTGCTTGTATTTGGCATTATATCTGTTGATTTAGTCATAACCGGGTCAACTGTCTGAAATTGAATCAGGTGGTAGACAACTACTACAGGCCAGACTTGAAGAAATTTGCTCTTGCTAGACTCAGTGTCATCAGCAAAAGCCTTAGGGTTGCCAAGTCCGGTGCCAAGCAAAGAAACCGTCAAGCTTAATCTTTTTTTTTTCAGAATCTAAGTGTTTGAAGTAGAAGATTTTGCGACGAGGTTTATTAAGCTGCTTTTGTTGAAGTTGAATCATACCATTGTGTTCTTTTTCATTATCTTAAAAGGAGTTGAATCATAGCACTACGCGTATGTTTCTTGTGTGCTTATGATATGCATTTTTTGTTAAATCTTTTTATCAAATGGAGAACTTGATTAAACCTTGAGCTTATATTTTAGCCTTGTTCGTTAAGGAAACGCTGCTTGTGATTACTGTTGTATATTTTTGTCGCAAACGCTGACGCAGCGATTGGTAACAGGGCTAATTGTCAAATGAATTAGGCGAAAGAAAATCAAAACTGTATACCGATTTTGTAACTTGTAGTAAACATGTGAATTGAGTCCGGTCAAAACTAAACCTTGATGCCTGAGAATAGTTGTTTGCCAAATGCCATTGAGTACTGTTTGAAAATATGCGGCGTTACTGGAGTTGTAGTGTTGACTTCTCCTTTCGAACCCCACCAAAACCAACTATCTTACCATACCAAAAAAAAGATGAGAGTGGACTATGTTAACACATACACTAGACAGACTTGAGTTGAGCGCATGCAAAAGCCCATCAGGCTTATATTCAGCCCAGATTTAAAATACATTAGGGTTTTGTTACCTCCCTCCTTTATTGTTTTAGCTCTCTCTCTGTGCCGTCTCCAACTCCATCCGGAAGAGAAGATAGAAATCGGAAAAATGGAGAAAGGGAAGGGAAGAAAGGAGGAGATCGTTACCAGGGAGTACACTATCAACCTCCACAGGCGCCTTCATAGCTGGTAACTCTTTAATCTTTTCTTCTCACTTCATTTCCACCTCCAATTAGTTCGAATTAGGGTTTCGTAATGAGTGTAACTCGGGTTTGAATTTGGGCTTAAATCATATATTTTACTCTCTGTGAACCAAAGTCATGTCTGGTTGAAGTTATAGCAATTGCTGTATAAACTCAGATATATTTATCATTAGAGACTTTGATTTTTATTATCTTCGGAAGATCATGAACATCTCCTTGTTCTCATTATTGATCTTACGGTTTTAGAAATGTAAAGTCCTCAATGTGATTTGATCTTTGTATAAACAGCACATTCAAGAAGAAGGCACCCAATGCAATCAAAGAGATCAGGAAGTTTGCATTGAAAGCTATGGGAACCAAGGACGTCAGAGTGGATGTCAAGCTCAACAAGCAGATTTGGAGCAGAGGTATCCGTGGTCCTCCTAGGAGAATTAGAGTCCGTGTTGCCCGTAAGAGAAACGATGATGAAGATGCCAAGGAAGAGTTCTACTCTCTTGTCACTGTCGCTGAGATTCCGGCTGAAGGATTGTCTGGTTTGGGCACCAAGGTCATCGAAGAAGACGAGTAAACTAAAAATGGTGTTGTACTCACACAAACCCGTATCTTTAAAATATTGTTTCAGCTTCTTTGTTTTTTTTTTGGTTAAATCTTTAGATGAAAGACATAGAGAGAAGAAGACTTTGTTTTGTTTTGATCCCTTGCCCATTTTGAATAAATTTATTTTTTATGTTTTAAGTTCTATAGACAACAGATACCCGTTTGATCTGTTGGTGACGCTCTTTACTTCTTAGTCATTTTTTTGAGTAAGTTTACAATCTGTGTTGTTGTTTTGAGTGTGTAATCTATTGGTGAGAAATCTGCGAAATCAGATAAATATGTACAGATCTGCACGGGACAGGTGCTAATGTCATAAACACTCGCATGAGGCTGACTAAGTGCATGGAGTTAGGCCTTAGGCTTGGATAAATAGTAGCGGGAAGACAGAAACCTTCCATGTAGCTCATCTTTGAAACGGACTGCTTAAGCTTAAGCTTGGTGAATGGTTTGGCAATGTGGGCAAGAGGGTGGTAATACCAAAGCTCATCCCTCCTTGTGTGATGTCTGGAAGTAATTTGTTACCTGTAACATGGACTAAGAAGTCGCAACAGAGGGAAGGCAACTCAACCAAGTAATATCCTTATGTTAGAGAGCTGACCATCCACAGGAATATCCTTATGAGATCCAATGCCGAAGTTAGCAGGATTGGATTTAAGTCTCTTCACTTCCTCTACTAGTTAGAGAAAAATAAATAAATAAAATGTTTGGTTTACTATATCACGTGCATAAAGTCATTCTAATTTCAGAGCATCTATATAACGTTTTCCAATATTAAGTTCAAAAAGGAACAAAGAAAGAACTGAAATCTTCTTAAACATTATCAGGCCAGAACTCCCTGAAGAAGGCTCGTTCAAATTCCTTTTCCTGCAAGTGTTTCTCATGCTCCATCATCTTCCGCATTTTCTTAGATAGTTTCTTGGTTTTATTAGGAACTTTTTCAGAATCTCTAGCAGTGTGATGCTTTGCTACTTTTCTCTTAGTAGTATTTTCAGCTCCGAGTCCTCGTTTGTTATTTTTGGGGTCAGTGTGTAGAGGCACCAATATACCCTGTTGAGCGATTCCAAGACCAGTCCCTTCCTTCCATCCTTGCTTCTTTAGAAGCTTAAACCCTATGTTTGAAGAATCTATTGCAACATCCCATGAACTGCTTGTCTCAGAGGACTCACCCATCACGTTCCACACCTTTTCTCTATTTCTGAAGAGATCTTTGACTTGAGTTTCCTCCTTTGTATCCCAAAAGAGCCTCCAATAACAAATCGAATCCAGAAAACGTGAGACTCAAGCAATTACAAAAGCGACCAAGAAACCCTAGAATCCCCGAGACAAGGTGATCATTACTGATCAAAATTGCGCAAAAGCTGCTTTTGATTAAATAGAGACGACTTTTGGTTTCCTATTAAAATTTGGAAAATACAAAAAGGTTAGAAAAGGAAAACACCCTCATGGTCTAATCTATCAAATACTTGTGAAATTCAAATCAATTCATCGGTTCTGTTGACGGTTCGATAAATTGTTTCCGTTATACCGAACCGGTCAGTTGAGTTCGATTAAAAAACCTTGAACCAAAACTAAACTAGTTTTGTTGTCTTGATTCACAAGTTGTTTTTCAAGGCCCATTTAAACCCCAATAGAGCCCATATTGTGTCGTCAACAACCCTAATATATAAAAACTTTAATGTAGCGCCGTCGTCTCCTCCAACAGCAGAGCCAGAGAAGCCAGTAGACTATCTGTGATCGACCATGGGTGATTCTCCTCGACATGCTGTTTTTTTTATCGTACCTTTTCTTGTAAGAAAACATGTTTCTGATTCTAGTCTCGTAATGACTTGCAGGAAAGGTGCACGGTTCATTGGCTCGTGCCGGTAAGGTGAGAGGTCAGACACCTAAAGTGGCTAAGCAGGACAAGAAGAAGAAGCCACGTGGCCGTGCTCACAAGCGATTGCAACACAACCGCCGTTTCGTCACCGCCGGTATGTAGCTTTACTCTCAGATCGATAATTTTTGATGCCTATTTTGTAAGGCTGAGAGTAGTCTCTGAAGATGAATTATGGTTTTTGTGATTGCTCTTGTCTCTTGTTATCTCATTTTAACATAGTAATGGTCCTGCGATTAATCATTTTTGTTTCAGTATTTTTATCAATCAATATTATTGTGCTCACAATGAGATTGCATAAGTTGGGTTTTTTTTCCTCATTTTCTTTCGTTTGTATTAATCTCAGACTTTGTGCTTAACCATTACTGATTTACTTTTTTGGCTTTTTAGTTAATCTTGTGAGTTGCTTTGAGATCAATCCATAACTGTGTATGCTTTGATCAATATTTTGATACTAATTATGCCTAACGAACATTTCTAGATTGTGATGTGTGACTGTCTCGTTTGTATGAAGTTTCCTAGAATTTTTTTTTATTTGTCTTGGTTAATCTCTAGGTTGCAGCATTTGTTTTTTCCATTTAATTGATTACAAAATTTGATTCCCATTTGATTTTGTTTGTGTTTCCTTCAGTTGTTGGCTTTGGCAAAAAGCGAGGACCAAACTCATCAGAGAAGTAGATTGAAGAAATGTTTACCTCTTGATGTTGTTTTGGATTCTTTAATGTTTTTGATAATGCGTCTGTTCATCTACAGAGCCAATGGATGTTGTTGAGCCAATGTTTTTTTTGTCTATTTCGTTTGTCTTGCATCTGTTTCTATTTGGATTATACCTTTCTTGGATAAGTGGCATAAAGTTTAGATTATTGACAAGGCTGCCATATTTATAGAACTGTTACAAAATGTTTATCTATACTATTATTTGTGAAGTGATTTTTCGCATTAGTGCTCTCACGTTAAAAGTTAGAGCGGTTAATGTTTATTTTATCCTTAATGAATTTTTTATATATAACTAATTTTATAATTAAAAATAAAATTTAAAAAACAAAATTAGATTAGTATGTTATTATCAATGATTTTAGATTTATCTTTATCTAAAACTCTTTTATATTGGGTTATAAAGTCTATATTAACTTTGAAAAATAATTATATTGGTTAATATATAATTAATTATAAATTAAAAACGAATTTTATTTATTTGATAATTATCTTTATTTTAAATTTTTTTATATTATGTGATAAAGTCTTTATCAACCTTGAAAATAATTATATTTATTAATATATAATTAGTTTTAACCTTAATGAATTTTTTATATATAATTAATTTTATAATTAAAAACGAAATTTAAAAAATAAAATTAGATTAGTATGTTATTATCTTAGATAACTGAGAATAATTAATAAAATAAATTTATAAAAAAAAATCAAATCTAAGAAAAACGAATTTCAATGATTTTAAATTTATCTTTATCTAAACCTTTTTTATATTGGGTTATAAAGTCTATATTAACCTTGAAAAATAATTATATTGGTTAATATATAATTAATTATAAATTAAAAATGAATTTTATTTATTTGATAATTATATTTATCTTAAATTTTTATATTATGTGATAAAGTCTTTATCAACCTTGAAAAATAATTATATATATTAATATATAATTAATTCTAAATTAAAAAATGAATGTCATGAATTTGATAAAACGTTGAAAAATAATTCTATTTGTTAATATATAGTAAAATCAATTCACAAAGAATTTATGTATAGATAATTTATATTGTGTTATCGAAAACATTATTAAAGATAATCTTTTATACATTTTTTATGTCTAAAAATGATATGAATTTATTACTAATTATTTTAAGTTTATGAGTATTTTCAAATATAAGTTGTATAATGAAAATTATTTATATGATGATGAAAAATTTTATATATATAGAAAGAATATGTTTAGTTTTTGATTAAATATTTTGAGTCTATGAACAATAATCTATTATAATTTACGTAAATTGATTATATATTTATTTATAGATATTAGTAAAATTATTAAGTCCGCAAATGTGGGTAAACTATCTAGTTTATATTTAAAACTCAATTATGAAAAATATATAATTAAGTGATACGAAGTGCCACCAGTTTCATCTGCGGCCTATAATCTCCTTTATGGGGATCGTCCACACGAACTGACCAGAGCTTTCTTTAGGTGATACATTTTATTAACATTTCTATGACATTGGTTCTGATCACCTATACTGCTATTCGTTTTAAGAAGTGTCATTGTATTAGAAATATTTAGGAAGTTCTGATTGGTTTGCAAGGCCAAAACATATTTCATACAATTCAAGGAAGTAAAAATTATGAAGATAAAAAAATTTAAAAACTCAAAAAAAATGAAGAGAAATAAAAAAAGAAAAGATTATGAAATGCCATAACAAGACAGTCAAACACAATCCCATGGGAACAGGAAGGCCAACGACAAAGGTATATGGTTCTAAAACATTAAATTGATTGTTTCATTACAATAATAAATCACAACAGAAAAGAGGGTAATGAGATTCTTTTAATTAGAGAAGAAACTGAAATCACGGTTTAGAGATCAGATTCCATGAGGTAATCCCCGAGCCTCTCCACAACCAAGTTGCATTGACCTCCAGTCATGGGCTCCTCATAGATGCCAATGACCAAGGCTTGATTCGTCTTCTTGATAGTAACGCCTCCAGGTCCCTGCATATATTCATTCAAAGATTGTAAAATAAATCTCTCTTTCATAAGATCTACACGCAAGGGTTAAGACATGTGTTACCTTCTTCCCTCGGATGACAGCTCCTGGTTCACCTTGAATAACCATGTATTTCACACCACCAAGAAATAGACCCGTTGGGGCAAGAGTCCCAGGCTCATTGAAATCCGTGATGATCCCATTGATCTCTTCTTTCTTCAACTGTAAAAAACATATCAAGAACACACACGAGGCATTAGATTGAACATCTGAAACAGAACACTTCCTTAGCTTACAAGAAAAACATCGATTACAGGGAAACAGTTGTTAAGCAGTAACCTTAAGACCAATCAATCTAACCAGAGATCATTTGCAT